CCCTACATTGAGAAAGGCAATGTTTTTTCATTTCAAAATTTCACAACGTGAATGGTTTGAACATGCATCCAGTTGATTATATTATCATAATATTTCATCAAGTTAATGCATTAAAACATGTAAAATAAATAAATAACTATAAAACTATGAGCGCTGCTACAGAAGCCGAAAGATGTTCCGAATCACTGTCCGAATTATTAAAATATTATTATTTTATTAATTGTTTAATCTAATATTTTATTATTTAAATTAATTTTTTAATTATTCAAAAGAAATTTCGGCTTCATCTTTCGGACGATGAAGCATTTTCCTAAAACTATACATTCTGTAAAATTGTCATTTTTCAAGCAATCTGTCATCAAATTAGTTTCCTATACGAAAGAGTGAAGATGACATGCCAACTTCAAGGATAAAACTTCTAATTTTATCATAGTAATATGCATTTAATAGGATCTTTCATTTACATTAGGTAAAATTTTAATTATGATCAAAAAATGATACCAACATGTATGATATTACATGCAAGTTTTATCCTTCTTTCAACAAGGATTTAAAGACGTGGTTACGATAAAAATCGTGAAATGAAGGAACTTTTGGTTGAGCCAAGATTTTTGTAGAATGAAGGGATTTTTGGTCCCTAAAAACACCAACTCATGCAGCATATTTCCCATTGTGCTATACTGAACCATTATTGTTACATTTTCCCCAACACATGAAACAAATTTGGTCTAGAAGTAAGCATGGCAACGGAACGGGGCAAGAGCGAGTTTTATGTTTCCCACTCCCACTCTCGTTCCCAATTTTATCAATCGAGAAAAAATCCGAACCCAATAAACATGAGTTTTCTCTGTCTAAATCAAGACGGATTCGGATGGATACTCATGGGAACAGATTAGATTGTCATGTCTGCCTACCTACCTAGAAGGGGCCATGTCACCTCTCCCCTTTCATTCACGATGGACCAAGGAATGTTTATCTATCTTGATTAAGCTTCTTATATTGTTCTCAATCTTGTTGAGGATGTTTCAATAGTAAAAGTCATCTCATCTAATTTTTCCATGTTAATTTCAATACTTCTTTTTTTCTCTCTTAAAATGCTAATAAAAAAGTTTCTCCGAAGATAACTTAAATATACAACAGAAAAAACACCTAGTTCCAACGCACATCTTAACCCTTCCCCAACACTTAAAAATGCTTTCGAACACGTGAAAGCATGCACCGATAAAGCTGTGCATCCTTGAGAAGAAATTTGAACGAATTCCCATTCATCTAAACATCTACTTTCTATAAATGACTACATGATCAGAGCGCTAAGTTAACAACAGCTCTAAAGAAATTACAAAAGAAAGATTTAAACAATGTTTCTATCTACAACATGGATATCTCAAGATCCAAAAATTCAGAACAATCTCCCAATAAAGGTGAAACCTGCATAGTCACAAGAAGAGCCTCCACGATGCCTGCAAGCAATGATATATGGCTGGTTGTCTGTCCTCAATGCCAAGGTTCATTGATCCCCATGTCTAATGCCTCAAACTACCATCAAGCATGGATCTAGACATTAAAAAAAATTAGAATACTACATTATTTGATGGAGATGACAGGGAATCACTAAACAGCCAAATGGAATGTGTCCAAAATGATAAAACCCTCCGTAACCAAATCACATGTCTGATCATTATCAGAAACTGATGACTAGGTTATATCAAAAACAAAATTCAAATTTCCTACAAGTCCTACAGATGTATTATAGTATTATAGAACCTGTGGTTTAGTCATTTTACTTCTAAGTTGCATAAAAAAATAATTTTCTACAAGTCCTACAGATGTATTATAGTATCACGAAAGAAAAAAGAGAGGAAAAGATGAGTTTTTCCAGAAGTATTACCTCTTTGGTTTCCCTGATTTCGTTGAAGCTTCTGCAAAAGCTTGTGCTGCCTCCGCATCAGCTTCAGCGGCCTCTGCCTCCTTTGCTGCCTCCTCTGCTTCTGCGATGGCAGCTTCTGCTTCAGCAACTGCTCGAGCAGCATATGCAGCTGCCTCTTGCGGAGTCATGGATCTTATCTTTGCTAATTCTAAGTCTATCTGAGATTTAGTAAGAATGTCAGTCTCATCCTTCTCAATTTTCATAGAGGCTTTCTGTCTCCCATCCAATAATAATAAGGATGGGTTTCTTCTTCTGTCAGAATATCCTCCTATATGTGCAATCCTGTACTTGCGATTAACCTGAAATATCGAAGCCAACCAAAAGTAAGATCTATAATAGAAACAACTTAATAAGTTAATATCACTGCCACAAAATGAGAATCACATGCAGAAAGCTTGTCAAGCTCACATAAAAACCAAATGTATAAAAACACTAAATCAAAACAATGGATTCCTGAAAATTATATTATAAAATCAAAACACACAAACTTTGTGCAAACTTATGCTCGAGTTTGCAGTTAAACAATGCATAGCTGCATACCATAATCCTGACCAGTTACCCACAACAAGCATCTGTATGTAAGCAATAGTGCATAAAATTAAACATGAGCAATACGGTAAAAACTGATTTCAAATACATATATGAAATTATGAATCCTGAAGAAAAAGTTTATTAAAATTGTTTCTTGACAAAAATTACTTTTCAATTGTTTAGCCTACATCTCTAATTATTCGTTTCAGCCATCTCCCCTAATCCTCTTGTTGTGGAATAAAGCCCAGCTTCCACCCCACACACTTTGTCATAGTCTTATAACGAGTAACAATGGAGTTTGTCTATTGTCTAATCAAACAGAGCTGTGAGTAAATGCTACAGTATTTGTACATGAAATAATAAAATCAATGCCCACTCTTTTAAATGACAGTTGCATGTTTCAATCTCATTCATGCATTTAACCATAAGGTTATAAAAAACAATCCATCCACACTAATAATAAACAAACTGGGTTTGATACCACTTAATTTTGCATCAGAAGCAAATGAACTGCTACATAATCAAAAATGTAGAGACATACCTTTATCAGTTTTCCACTTGCTGTCAAAAACTTTAATTTTGCGGACAGCATCTTTTTTAAACCTGGCAGTGCCCAATATTGGTCCTACCGATTTCAAAGCAATGAAATTCAAATGATTTTGAATACAGAAACAATATATTATATAACGTATGAAGCAGAGCAGTCAGTACCAAATGGAAATTTCACCAGCAACAGATATAATGTCATTGCTTACCCATAAAATTTTTAGTTATCTGAGTTTGAACATAATCACATTTTTAAACATCATTACTATTGTATGAAGTATATCCCAGTTTAGAGGTGGGGGACAAGATCATTCAGCCACTGAAAAATTATAGAATAGACCAATTGTACACACTATTCATGATCAATCTTCACAACATAGCATGAAAGCAGTGAACTCAAGTCTCTCTAATATTGATTGAATTTAAATAGATCACTTTAATGTTGTCGGGATATTACTAGGTTGAAAAACAAATGAAAAATAGGAAAAATCCCTCAATAACGAATAACAATTAACAGACATTGATTATTAAATGATATTGAATTTCCTTTCTAACAGAGAATGTCTGAGATTTCAGTTTGAGGAGCAATCCAACCAAGAGAAGGACTCTAGGTTTATCAGGGAAATTGTAAAGTATCTTGAATTGGTAAATAATGGAACTTCATAAAAAACCTAATAAGATATAACCATTTGGACCCCATCAATCAAAAAGTTTTCTAGACTTTAGAGTGAAAGAAAAGCAAAACAAACAAAAGTTAGGGTTAATACTCAGAATTACCTCTATAAAAGCTGCAATAGCTGTCTTATTAGAACCACCATGCTCCTTCAAGCTAGTAATAGCTTCCATTATAAGTTTATCCAAGCTGTATAGTGTAAACAGGGTAAAATATATACTGTCATGAAATGATAGACATAAACCAATTACATCAAAAAGAAAAGAATTTTTTTTTTCAAGAAAATGAAAGCTTTTTAGGATGCATGCAACAAAAAAATGAAATCAGGCGAGCACACATGCAATTAGATAAAATGACCTTAACATGTGGTAACCAGTAAGAATTCCTTGTTGGAAAACAATCACAGATAGAACCACTAAAATGTCAATTTTTCAGCAAACCAGGTAGATAATATAATAACATACAATACCATATCAAAACAAAAAAAAAAGAGTCAAACCTTAAATTAGACCTCTTTGGACCAGGAATCTGCACCGTATCTCTAGAAATTTGAAGAGGCTTAACATCAACAATTTCCTCATCACTTGCAGCAACAGCAGTGATAGCCATAGAGTTCTCATCCTGTCTTGGGGCCTGATGCACCCTTCTGACTGCTAACCTAGATTTTTCCCTAGAGCTCCATCCATTTGCCATCACACTCAGATTTCTCCATTTATCCTATATAAAATGCCACTTATCAGAACCGCACAAACAACTTATGCATAGTAAAATAGATGGACCAACACTAATTCATTACAATGTAAGGAAAATTAAATAATGAACCTCCATAAAAACATCAACAAACACAACGACCAAGATAACCAGACCTTGAGATCCACATTTGACCGCAGGTATAAGACACTACTGAACTCCGGATCCTTCAGTATTGTGCGCCATTTACCAACACCATGCTTGACAACTCCAGCTTTAAGTGCTGCTTCCTCTTCTGCGGTCCATTTCTGCTTTGGAGCACCCATATCCAGTAGCACAGAAACGCTCTCAACTGGAAAACAAAAGTAAATTACATAAACATTGAGTTTACCTCTCAAGAAATAATCACAAGCTTTCCTGTCATAAGACATTAGAAGCTCTTACCATTACTTTAAATTATATCCCATAAAATATTGAATTTTACAAATTCTTAACCCAGGATTCATTATACGAATTACTGATAAAAATAAATAAATAAATAAATAATCAACTCTGGGCTTGTTTTAATTTTTTAAAGACCACCTACAATACAATAATTGTATAAATCACGCCCCTTGTGAGTAAAAATTATTAAATTTACTACTTCCATTCTTAATCCATTGATTCCAGACACCAGTTAGTTGAAGGATGTGTTTATAAGGTCACATGACACAAAAACTGGAAATTCAATGGAGGAAGCTGATCATGAGCTTGAACAGAAAACCCACAAATTCATTCTTAACTTGAATTAAGAGAACGGAAGCTACAGAAACATGCAAACCACTGTCCAATCAAATAAAAACTTTGGAATTCAACATCAACAGAGAATCCAATTAGGATTGTTAATCCAACAAAAAAGAAAATACTGATCCCAAAATCTGACCTAAAACAGTTGAATTTTGATTCGTTCTACGAAACCCTAAGCACAGAATTCGATAGATGATTTGCAAGAAAAAAAGGAACTAAAGAAAAAAAAAACCTTAATTGGGATTGGAGGAAAATGAATAGATTGGGATTGAAAGGGTGAGAAATTGGTGATATAAGGTTCCCCAATTTCGTTTGCATCCCGCGCCAAATGCCCTAACCGGACCAGAGACCAAACTTCGAACTCAGCAAATATATTCAACAAAATAATTAAATAAATAAGTAAATATAAATGAAGAGATTCATTTATTTTAATATATATTTATCCATATAAATAATTCATTTTCTATATTAAATTTTAATAATTTAATCATTAAATTAAAATTTTATAATATATAGATAAAGATTAACTTTAAAAAGTTTTTAAAAAAATTGAAATTAATTTTATACCTCATTTCATTAATTTTAAGTAAAAGATAATTATAAAAATATTTTATACATTTATTTAAATTACTAAAATTGAATATGAAATATTTTTTAATTTTTAAAAAATTTATAAATTAATTTATGTATTAAGAACTTTTAATTCAACCGTTAGATTTAAAAAATTTCATAAAATTTAATAAATCGTTAAAATATTTAATGTAAAGGTAAGAAAAATTTTAGATGTTAACTTGAGTGAATAAGATTAAAACACACTAAAGATATGTTCTAAAAATACTTACAAGAAAAAAAATTGTAAAGAAAGATTACATTATTAATATATAAATTATCAATTATTATACATCAAATATGAATATCTATTTTATACGAAAGTATTTTTATAAATTTAAAATATAATTTATATGTTTAAAAATATATATTTATAAAAAAATTAATTATAATTATGTATTTAAATAAAATATTTATTTTCATATATAATTTATCATAAATTTTTGTTTTGACACTAAATTATTATTAATTTATTTATAATTTATTATAAATTTTAGTTACCTATCATAAACGTTTATCATATATATTATACAAATTAAAATGCTAACTTTTTCTAAAATAAAAAGACCTTAAATAAAATAAGAATTATTGAACACTTCTATGATTGTTCTTTCTTTTTTTTATCTCACACTACCATAATAAGAATTATTCTATTTTGGTTTTATATTATTTTGCTATTTTTTTCAAATTTAATCTCATTATTTTAAGTGTATAATTTTAGTTCATGCTTTAACTTAATATCTAATATTTAAATAAAATATTGATGTGACATATATCAACATTTTTATTAAATATTTGATGACAAGTTAATAGATGAATAAAAAATTACGTAATTAAAAGAGTAAAGAATCAAATTATTAAAAAAATAAGAAACCAAAATTATAAAATAATTCAATAAAAGAACCAAAAATAAAAGTGTGAGAATGTGACTCCTTACCAAAAGTCGTGGGATGTGATACCAAAAGTCATAGAACCTCCCTTTGAATGGCTATTATCCGTTCACCCAATGGTATGAAATGGTTTGTATAGAACCAATCTGCATGCATAAAATACAACAAAAATATAAATCACTATACATTCTTTATAATCAAATCATTTCCTTTCTTCCCTCGTACACAAAGAAAATTAAAGAAATTATTATTCTATAAATTGTCATTGATGATACATTTCATTATATCCTAAAGAGGATTTGCTGGGACACCCTGCATTCATTTCTATAAAGATTGGTGGAGTAAATCGAATCTCAAGGATAATGTTTACACATGCATTGAGATTTCCACTTGAACTTCATTTTTCTTTTGTTGCAGAGAGACACCATCAGTTGTACCAACAGTCTATGTTAAAAATTGTTATCATTTATTGAACTAATATTAAACAACTCAAAATGTAAGCAAGTCACACTTTAATACATAAATATGTAAAAATAATAATAATAAAAAAAACCCTACCTCATGTACTAAAGGATTTAAGCATACGGTTATTACTTTTGTTCCCTTTTTATTTTATCCAAAATTCTAAACAGTTTATCCTATTATGTAACCACTCATTCTATAATTTTTCTTTTAAATTATTTTAAAAAATTAGAGAGTCACAAAACACCTCTTTAACCTAGTAAAATTATAAAATTTAATCAACTTTGATAAAGTATTTCATCTTCTAATAAAATTTGATAAAAAAAATTGTCTTACATATAAAATAAAGCAATTTAACCAAAAATGAGAAGTCATTAGGCATGGCAACGAGGCGGGGTGAGTACGAGTTTCATGATACCCGTTCCTGTGATTCAAACTCATCCCCGTCCTCGTCCTCATATCCGTCGGATATGTAATTTTTGTCTCATTCTCATCCCCGTCAGATATTGATATATATGTACTTGTACCCGTCAAAAATTATTTTTTTTGTAAAAACACACACAATATTTTTAGTTTATATTTCCATTATATTTCAATTATAATCGGATTATTTGTCTATCTCATATTTTAATCAAGAGACTTCTTAATAATTAAATAACTACAAATGTTTCACATTATAATAAACAATCACACATAATTAAATATTAAAATTCTTTAAAACAATCAAATCGGGGATGGGAATGGGTCGGGTATATACTTACTTGCCCCATCCTCGTCCCTGTTCTCATTCTCATCCCCAATTTAATACTCGTTCTCATCCACATCCTCGGTTTAATATTTTGAGTTTTACTTGTACTCGTACCTGGTCAAATCGGATATTTCCCGTCAAAGTTAAAATGGGTTCGGGTATTACTTATGAGTACGGGTTTATTTGTCATTTCTAGAGGCCATTAGATATAAGGTAAGTCTTCCAAACTCTTTGAACCAATAATAATGTATTTATTTTAAATTTTAGTATATGTGCATATATATGTGTGTGTGTGTGTGTGAAAAATATATTTAACTTTTACTTGTTTAAGATGATTTAAAAAGGATTAAAATAAGAGTGAATCGTAAAAGAAATGGTGAGTGTCAATTATTATGTTAAAGGTGAAATAGGATAAAGAAAATGACTAATTTTGTGAGACCTACCAAAATTTAGTTCATTTTCAAGTGTGATTTGTAGTTGATCTGTGCAATAAATGAATTGAGTATAAAAAGGGGAATTTAGATTTGAATTGCCATTGATATGAGTGAGATAACACTTGTTATTGAATTTTTTTTAAGAAAGTGATTACATGTTAGAAATTGAATAAACTTGTGAGTTTAGGTTCTTGCACATCGATATGTTATGCCACTAATGGAACAAGGGTTATTGAGGAAGGAATAGGGAATCTTAGACCTAATTTTTGTTTATTTCAAATTCAAGTGCCATTTGTATCATATATGTGCAATGAATGAATTGAGGATAAAAAAAAACTTCAATTTGAATCACCATTATGTGTGTGACATAACACAAACTACTAAAGTTTTTTTTAGAAAGTGATTAGATGTTAGAAATTAATTAGGCTTGTGAGATCGAGTTCTTGGACACCTACATGTAACACCATTAATGAAACAAAGGTTGTTAGGGAAGCAATGAGGCCAAAGTTTATTTCGAATTCAAGTGTGATTTGCAGCAAATTTGTGTGATAAATGAATTGAGTATAAAAAAAGGAGTTTTAGATTCGAATTGTCATTGGTGTGTGTTTGACACAACATAGGTTATTGAAAATTTTCAAGAAAGTGATTAGAAATTAGAATTAAATAGACTTTTGAGCTTGGATTCACCATTAATGGAACAATGGTTGTTAAGGAATAAATAGGGTTAGAGAAATGGGATAAGAGAAGGAGGTAGACTGGATAAATTTTAGTAACAAAATGATAACTATCATGACAAATTCATAACATAAAATAATTATAAAAAGTTAGAAACTTTTACCTAAAGTGATGGAATCCATGCTTGTATCTCAAATGGAATCACTAGCAGTGGAAAGGGGACAGTTCCTCTTTGCTTGGTAATTAGGGTTTTTCGCACAATAAGGAGTGGCGACAAAGCTCTTGATTGATTAATGCGAGTGAACTGTGCTTAAACGCTTTTGTCACAAGAAAAATTATGTAATGGGATAATAAATTTATAATCATTAAGCGAGAGCATGGTTCCCTTGATTGGTACCAAGTGATAGCATAATTTATCATAGGTCCACCCACATCGTAAGCCCAAATAACTAATATCCATCAATTATTTGGACACCACATGAAGGCCTTATCCAACATAGACTTACTTTCATCATAAGTCCAAATAGTCAACATTTATCAATTAAAATACCATAAATGTTATTTAAATATATGAAAATTATTTTAATTTTTTTTTCACAATAAATGTTTGTATGTATAGTGATACTTGTGATAGAATGGAATATTACCTCCCAAAGAACCTATTACAAGAGTCATGTATAGAAGGATGCAAGAGGAGTAACCTAGATTTGAAATGAGATTTTACTCTCTCAGGGATCTTTAGGTTCTTTCTTTCTGGAGTGTGACTCCATTTGCACTTTCACCAAGGAACCTCTCTTTATGGCAAGTGTTCACTTGGCTTATCTCCTCCATTGGAGAGAGTGGCACCTCCCCCATTTCTTGCAACAAAAGCATGACATTACAAAGAGAAGATGTTTAAGACCTACTAACCTAAGAAACCAAGGAAAAATAAAAGTAAGGGTAAGAAAATTAACATGTATAATTAAAAGATGACTCAAGTATATAAAAAATCATATGAGAGTGTGCTTAAGGATATAAATCTAAACATCAATTTTATATGACAAAATTCATTTAGTGGGGAGGGGTAAAAAAGGTGGATATAAATCGAACCAACTCAAAAATAGTTTAAAACTTGATTCAATAATTAGGTCATTGAACTTGGTTCATGAACTAAATGAGTTGAACTTAGTTAAAAATTAGCTTGATAAGTAATTGAATTGAACTTGGATTACATATAGTTCGATTCGTTTGATTCATAAATTGGCTCAACACACACACACACACACACACACACACACACACATATATATATATATATATATATATATATATATATGTATGTATATATATGAGAAGGGATCTACTCATTCTAAGAGTAAGTTTACCTACACTTATTCCGCAATAACTCATATTTTACATCAAATTTTAACGATCCAACCATTAAATTAAAAGTTATTAATACATAGATTAAGTTTACAAATTTTTAAAAAATTTGAAAACTATTTCATACTCAATTTCATTAATTCAAATTGATGGATAATTATAAAAATATTTTATACGTTAATTTGTATTAATAAAACTGGGTACCAAATAGTAACTGAGTACCAAATAGTTTTTTTTTTTAATTTGCAGGCTTGATTTATATATAAAAATATTTTAATTTAACAGTTGAATTATTAAAATTTAATGTAAAACATAAGTTATTGAATAGAGTAAGTATGTGTAGATTTACTCTTGGAGTAAATGGATCATTTCTTTCTTTCTTTCTCTTTCTATCTCTCTCTCTCTATATATATATATATATTATAATTTATTTTCTATTTATTTTTAGCTTATTAAAATTTGAAATAACCTTCAAAACATAATTAGAAGTTAATAATGATGTAGGAAGTGGACACATCAGGATTTCACGATTAGGAATTTAGTTTTTCATTATTTTGTGTAAGGTTGGATAATTTTTTAGTTATGCAAACTTTGCCTGTAATTATGTTTTGTTATAATTATATCTTATAACCTTGTAAAACTAATAGAATAAATTCAATTTTGTCTTTTTTAAAAACTTAAATAATTATTTTTATCTAAAATCTACTAATAAATTGAAATTTTGAAATGCATGGGATTAAAAAAAAGAAAAAATCAACTTGTGATTCATGTGATTTGAGCTATATCAAGCTATTTATGTACTTGAATCGGTTCAAATTCAAGCTGGAAAAAATTAAGTTAAAATTGAGTAAAATTACGAACTAAGTCAAATATTATTAAATCAAGTTGAGAAAACTAGAGATATCTATATTATGCAATGAGTTATTATGTTCAAAAATTCAAAGCAGCGACGTAAATAACATGCAAGAGAAACTTCTATAATTTTTTTTTATAGAAATATTAACTGAAGAAGATTTTTGCATTAATACATTGTGAATTCGAAAATATTTGGGTAAATTTATTCAAAATTATTTTTAAGAAAAAAATAATAACAAAAAATAAAAACAATTTTTTTATAAGTTAAAATTAACGTATATATAAATTAATTTGTAGCAATTTTTTCTATTAGTTTTAAAAAAAAATATTTTTAACTCATAAATAAACTAACTTTAACTTATGAAAAAATTTCTTTTAATTTTTCTTCTTATTTTTTTATCTTTCTTTTATAAATGCTTCTGATTAAAAGGAAAATGGTACAAAGAAAACTTTTCAAATGATTAGAGGGAAATAATACAAAGAATTTTTTTTAAAATGATTTGAGGGAAATAATATAATGATTACTTCATAAATGATTGGAGGTAAAGCAAGATTAAAGCAGATATTTAAATTACCTTTGAATACGGATATCATCTCGTTCTCGTATACCAAAAATGAGTTTTTGATTATATTTCCAATTACAGATTCTTTTTTGTACTTAATGTGATGCACAAGTAGCCAAACACTATCTATAGTACTCAAGGCCAATCCCAATGGTCATTCTTTATGGGATTCCACCCTTTTACTGTTATGATAAGTAGTGTAGCATAAGTGTTGTGTTGTCACCCAATTAATGTGTTTATTATTTTATGGTTTGTTAATTTGTTATTTATATATATATATATATATATATATATATATATTATTTCAAATTCCTCATATAAGCCTCCTTTATATATAGTGATGATGGGAATTAATTAAAGTAGACAATAATTATTCAGGAAAAAACCTACCTTCTCTTCATATTTCTGGATCAATTCCCCTTCCTCATATAATACTCCCAACATTCACCTCATTAGAATTTCACCAGAATTGGATTAAATATTTGAAAGCTTACATGGCTCATTCCGTTAACGTTTTGGAAATGATGCTCTCTACTTCTATATCAACTAATAAATACATTCAAAGTAGAAAATCCACCAAACATATAAAAAATGAAAAAGAAAAAGCCTGTGCACTTGATGTTTAATGCACTACTTGAAAGAACATGGTCATACTATTCCTTTACACCCTACCTACCACATTTAGATATATTCCGTATAAAAGATTTAGAAAACTAACTGATATATGCCAGCTGATGCATGAAGGCAATGGAATAAACAGAATCAATCACTTCAGCTAGTACCATACCACTATTTCCTTGAATCATATTGTTATATATCTGTAAAAGCTAATACATTAGTCTTTCTTCTTGGCTTTTGATTCTACCTTATCAGGTATGCATGATGACCAAAAAGTTGGCAACATGGTGCATGCAGCTTGTATCAGAAGTCCAAATGGAAGTCCTGAAAAGTCACTTGCTGTTACCTTAATATATGATGCAAGTGCAACACCTAGGTATCCACTCACAATGAAAGCCAGGGCCACAGAAGACATGAGAAATGCCATTATAGACCCCTCACACCCCGGTGGACACATCTGTGCTATCAGCACGCTGAATGGCAGAATCTTGAAGAAAAATAGAACCTCCAAGAATCCTGAGAAGATCACAACATAGAGCGAGTCCGGCATGCCTATTTGTCGATAAAAGCCTCGCACAAACAAGAAATCTGAAACCATGAAGAGTGCCATCATAGCTTGAATGGTTGATATCAGTTTCCTTGGTGGGACAGATTTCAGGTATTGATTGTATATGATGCCCCATAGGAGCATTGTTGCCTGGCCAAACACCTTGGAGATGCCTAACACTGATGAGTTTATTTTTAAATACTGTGTCTGGTAAAAGAACATGGTGCCTGTGAGTGCAGGAATGATGGCATAAGATGCTGTGAACCATGATATTGAATATGCAATTTCAGGCTTTCTTAGAGCAACTAATAGCTCTGAAAGCTGTTTCCTTATTCCACCAGATGGACTCTTTGGGAGGCCGAGGGAACTCTCGCGAACCGAAATGGTTATAAAAAATTGGAGAGCAAGGAGAAGGCCAAAAATTAGAAACATGGACTGTGGGGAGAACCGGCCGATGAAAATGCCGCCAAGAAGGTTTCCGAGGACTCCTCCTGCAGAGGAAGCTATCCAAACAAATGATTGGAGGTTGCCTGAGGATGATGGTTGTGGTTTCTTGGTTGAGGAAGGAGGCTGTTTAGCCATCTCTGCAACAATGGCATCGTTTGCAACCTCAGCTATTGAAGCACCTAGATTACTAAGGAGGAGGTATATGGAGATAGTGAAAATAGACATGTTTGGTGGAGAGATTGCTATGACTAGCCATGACAGTGCCTGCAAGAAAGCTGCATAAACAGATTCGAAGAAATAATTTAGAAATTAGTTATATCACTGGTAGAAATTAGAAATGAAATAAAACTATGAACGTTGGTATCATGAACCAAGTATCCAAAAGCTTAGCCTAATTGGTGAAGGCAAATGAATGCTTTTATAATATATCTCTTATATGCCCCTTCCTACAACTGCCCTCTGGACTTGAAGGGTGGATTATGCACAAGCTCACCTACTTTGTGCTATAATTCAACTTTTTATCGTAAGAGAATGGGGAGAGACAAAGAGGTTTCAATGCCCTTTCATAAAACAACAATCCTAGAAACTTAAGTTATTTAGTGAAAACACTTCAATGGGTTTATAATTTATATCTCTAACAACAGGAATGGTTCAAAAATTAATGATAGAAGTGATTCTCTTTAAACTTATAAGGCCTGTTTAGATAAACTTTTCTAGAAGAATTTTTAGGAAGAAAAAAAAAAGAAAAAAATTAAAATAAGTTTCTATAAGCTAAAACTAACTTTTGCCCAAGTTAAAATTAAGATTTCAAAGAAGTTCACAAAAGAGAGATTCTACGAATCAGGTTATGCAAAAAGAAAGGGCTTTTTCTTTAATAAAATCGAAGACTATCAAGATCCAAGAATGAGTCTGTTTGACAAAATCAAAAAAGGCCATAAAATCTTCTCTTACAGATGAGAACTTGAATGGAGAAACTTTAATACCAATTCCAATTTTAGTAACCAAGAAATTAAGGAGAAAACTTCAACCAATAAACTGTTTCTGTTTGACTGCTTTCTTTGTTATAAATTTTGTACATAAGATGATTCCTTATCACCCCTCTATATGTCCCTTCTAATGCAAGTTTCTTCTGTCAAAAACAAAAACAAATAAAAAGAAATAAGATCCATTTCGATGTCTGTTTCCTAGAAATAATTGTGTTCTTCCACATTTCCTTCAGAAGGAAGCTTACAAAATATTTTCTCTACATTCAAACAACAGTGACACTAAATGATTTTGCAGTTCCTATACGCTGATTTCGTGTTAGTTTTAAGAAGCCCTGTCATAGTAAAGTCATAACAAAGTTTCAGTCTGAGGCCAGGATATATGTTTTTCATTCTTTGTTTCTTTTTTCTTTTTTCTTTTAGGAGTGATGACTGGACAATATCTCTTTTTCTTCCTTTGGCTTGGTACAAGGAAAAATAGATAACGTATTACCACTTACCCAGTAAAGCTTGAGTATCAAGACAGACTGTCTAGAATATATACCGAATTTAAAGAATCTATAAACAGAAATCTTCAGACTATAATTATCCTTGTTTAGATAAATCCCTCAGTAAAGAAATAAGAAAGTAAAATAAATCGAGCCCTTTTTAGAAGCTAAAATCAATGCGTGCACTTAACTTCTACAAAAATTTTGTCATTTCACTTCTCCAAAAGTTAAGTACATAAAAAATTGAGTTTTTCACACATGTCAATATAAATTTATGCACCTCAATTTTTCAAAAGTTACATGAACGAATTTCTATAGAATTTAAGTGCACACATCAATTTTAACTTCAATTAGTTCATTTTCCTTTCTTATTTTCTTCTCCTGTAATATAGAAAAGTTAATGGAACATAAGTTCCATCAAAAGCACAAAAGTAAGGTAAGCAAATTCTACCTCATCCTACTTTTCCTTTCTTCATTCCTTTTTCTTTATGCTTTTTTTCCAAAGCAGCTCACGTTAAAGGAACAACTTCTTTTATTCATAGTTTATACACACAAAGGATCAATTCACTTATTCATCCATTCCATCATCCATTTCAAAGAAGAATAAGAAGGAAGGAACAACCAATCCTCAATTCTCAATTCCCAAGCATGTTAAAGGTTGTAAAGCATGCAACTTTACTCTAACACGATCAAATCAGAGAGAGAAAAGAAAAGGGTATGGAGAGTGAAGATTATGGTACCTCCAAGAGCGATGTAGGGAACTCGACGCTGGCCAGAGATGTAGACAGAGTCTGAAACGAGGCCATAGAGGGGCTTTCCAACCATGGGAAGATTAGCAGAATTCTGAAGAATTTGAAGAGTGGAAGGTTCCACATTGAGGCCATCTTTGAGGTAGAAACTCACCACCAACCACGGAAAGCACCTGAATCCTTGCACCCAATACCCCAAACCCAGAATCTTCTTCATCAAATTCCCACCACCCTCTGATGCTACCATTTTTGTTTCACTTTCGTAACCGTTAAGGAAGAGAGAGAGAGAGAGAGTGTGTGTGTGTTTGTGTGTCGTGTGTTTAAGAAATTTTTGCTGCAAAGAGGTTTCGGGCCTTTTAAGGAAAAGTAGTATGGTGATGTCGTGTCTCTGATCTGTGTTTTCCAATCCCAATGAAGTTAGATTTGGAGGTGCACTAGTGAGTAAGGACGCACTCATAAGTGACATTTGTTATTGTTACTGTTGTTCAACCACAAGGTGTTGTTAATGGATGCCACGTGCTGCGATTTTGGGCTCACACCTTTCTCTCTTTCTTTTCTAGCATCGCTTTAACTTTTCCTTTTTAAGATTTACTGTATTATATTTAGTTGTGTATTTTGTTTTTCACAAGGTTTCTTTCTTTTTTTAATAATCCTGTCACATCAGATTCCCTGGAATATTCCTGTTGGTAGATCTGAATCTGATCTGGGTCGATCGTTTTTATTTCTTTGCATTTTTAGTTAGGGGTACGACACACCAATATTCACATCATCACATGGCAAATGGCGATTCTAACAATTTCTTGACACAATACTTTATTAAACTAACATTCATGTGAGTAGTATTAGAAATTAAGAGATATATTTTAATAAAACTCATATAAAAATGATTTAATAATCAAAATTGTATATATAAAAAAATATTATTAAGATGTAATGAATCACAGGTGTTTTATGTGGTACAGTATTGGGCCTGTAGCCCCATTTATTCAGCCAAAGAAAATAAATTGATCTCCAAAGATGTCCCACTGGCTTTCCCATATTTACTTTTCACACTGTGGAGGCACCACTTTTACAAACTACACTGCGGAAGGCGCCATATTTACGTTTTCGAAGAGTTTCTAATTTTGGTGTGCCTGCCCTCCAAAGAATGACGGAAGAGTTATTACTCCATCAGTTCTAAAACTGTCTTTTCCATAGATCAGAAAATAAATACTCTTAACTGTTAACTGTATTTTAGTAATTAAGATTAATTTATGTAACATATTAATGTTATTTTGAGTAGAGGATTATATTTTACAAAACTATAATCTATAATTTATAATCTATAATTATTAATAAGAAAAATACATTTTTAAATAACTGTTTTTTTTTTTTTTTCAACTTTTTTTATTCATTCAGTTATACAATATTTTTTTATGGATAAAAGATAAAATAAAGAATATATATATATATATATATAAATGTAATTATTTGTGTGACTATTAGAGTTATGAAATATTTCAACTTTTCTAATTATAATAAAAATAATAACCTTTTTTTATGTACACATTTTTTTTAATTTTATTCTCACTAATATATGATTTTCACAATTATTTTTCTTAAAATAGTAAATTTGAGCCAGATTCAACCTTACAAAATTAATTTGTAAGGTGAGGATTGTTTTTCACCTATATATTATTTAATTGTCTAATCTATAGTCGATGTGAGACTTGAATTTTTTTCAATACATCCTCTCGTATTTAACACTATTGAGCTTGGTACATAGATAAATGATGGGTGACCATTTTTTAATTATCTAGGATAGATGACCCTTTTTTTAAGGATCTAAGAAAGATAATCATTTTTTAAGGATCTAGAATAGTTCTATACCATCTTAGAATTTTGTAGGGTTGAGTTAAACTTAAATTCATTATTTTAAGAATTTTTAAATAGAAAAATACGAAATGTTTCTTTTCTTGTTGGTATGAATAATATAATTAACAATGTTGTAAAAACTTGTAAATTAATATATATAAAGATAATTTAGTCTAAATTCGTATAAATTAAATATTTCTTAGTTTATGTATAAAAGACTAAAAAGAACTAAAAATTTTGGAACGAATATGAAATTTCAAATTTTGTATGGCAGCAAGCGGGATTCGGACCATGTGCTTTACGATTTTAAAAACAAATTAACCAGTCCACCAAAGCATTTACATATTATTTTTGTGGCAAAGAGTATTATTTATTGATTTAATGGTGATAATAATTTTACATTATTATCTAATAACAATCTTCATATATGATAAATTTGTTAACTTTTACAATAATCATGTTAAAAATTATACAAATTGTGGTTAAGTCTTTTAACCTCCTCAAGTAACTCCAAGTTACAATTGCTATAAAACATAAATCAATTTATTATACTTAAACTTTTATTTTTACATTTTAATCTTTTGAAAAATTTTCACTACTTACACAATTGTCTTTTTTTTTTCTCTTATCTTATTATTATTGATACACAATTATTTTTCAAAGTTTTTTATATAAAAAAATAATCGACCCCACTAATATAAATAAATAAATAAATAGTTAAACAGTTTGACCTCTCAACCCATAAAAAATGGAACGGGCTGAAATTTTTAACCCATTTTTATGCGCAGCGAGACTTGGAAATAATAGGGTTATGATGTTCTTACTTTAAATGTAACTTTGATGCAATAGTATTGTCAACACTGCACTTATAAGACTGTGCTTCGGATTCTTTGCAAATTGGCCATAATCGGCTATTTTATATGCTACTTAAATTTTTATCATCTATGTCATGATATTATATTTTGTATTGGATTTGCAAAAAAAGAAACTGATATTCCATATTTACAGGATACAAACAAAGGGGAGCGGGGGAACATGATATCATCTCCATCGTTATTATCTTTTTTTTTGGTAAAGCCCATCGTTATTATCTATGCGCTGTGCTTTTAAATGAGATAGTTGGAGTTACCACTTTCATTCGAATACGCAATTATCAAACAAATAAGGGTACGCAAATGATCACGTAATAGAGTATCACTATCTGTCAAAACAAAACTTCACTGCATGATAGATAACCCGCAGAGCAAACAAGCCAGTAATCAAAGTATTATATAGTATTTCTAAAACATCTTTGTCACCAAATCATGTAAGAAATGATTAAGAAATAGCCCTATTTCATGAACAGAACACCAGCAAGTTTGGTATATCAACCACAACACAAGAATCTCAGAGAACTAGATGAAATTCCATAAAAGTGATAAATAAAAAAATTCTCTATGATCCCAGAAAATTTTCATCTTGAAGAAAAGATGTGTGCGGAGGATAGGCAAAAGGAGTGTTCCAAATGTCAAAGCAACATAACGGTTACAAGTTATACAGTAATTAACTAGAAAACTCAACTAAGCAAAAAATGATTCAAATAGATTATTCAACAATTGATTCTTGACCATTAAATCTGCTTCGTGCCTTCAGAATTTTCTTCCAACATCCATTCACCATGCGTATGGCAACTTAAAAAAACATACTGGACATTAAGGAAAAAATGTGATCTCAACCAACAATCAGAATTCTATTCCATGACTGCAACTCCTCCAGCAGCTTTTATTTTTTCTATCATCTCATTTGCCTCCTCTTTTGTGACTCCTTGTTTTAGCACAACTGGAACCTTTTCAACAAGATCTTTGGCCTCTTTCAATCCTAGGGTAGTAAATGCTCTTACCTCCTTAATCACCTTGATCTTTGCAGCGGCATCAAATTTCTCCAACTTTACATCAAAAGCTGTTTTCTCTGCCTTCTTCTCCTCTACCTTTGGTCCAGCAGCACCACTTTCTGGACCCAAGTCCATGCCTTCTGTGGAAATTGGCTGCAGCTTTGGAAGCTTTAATCTTTCTGCCAAAGTACGCATAATTTGACAGCGTTCTTCTTCAGATAGTGCTCCAATTCTTTCTGCAAGCTGAATGATTTTTTCTGAGGGAGGAGGTCTGGGGCCATAGGGATCATAGAACTGAGGAATTTTGTACTTTCTTGGCTTAGCCTGAGGATCTTTAGGAACAAAATCAGTCTGCAAGGCACGAGATTGCAAAGGCCCACATGTATCAGGCCGAGGAAGGCGGCAAATTAATCTGGAAAGGGGGGTAAACCTCATCTCTTTGTTCAATCAAAATAGTATGAAACCAAGATGTTGAAAAAATATGCTCTTTCAACAAACTAGCACCATCACCCTGAAACAATTTCAGAAGCTATGGTTGGGCCGCAAACCACATGACATATAACATAACATATATGATAACAAGAGAAATGTTAACAAAGCACTATTTTAAACACTCTACAACCGGTTGAAATTTATTGGAAAACACAAAATTTTAGTGGGAGTCACACCGTATTTAATAATTATCTCTCCTGATTTTGTAATTTTCAAATTTCAATATTTTTTAATCAATAAAAGTGAGCATGTTAGAGAGTCCTCATGATAACAAATGCATCTTCAGATATTCTTCCACATTCTCAAGGTAACTTCAAACAGAAGATATCACCACAAAAGAAGGCAGAAAATGCTAAACACATACATCAACTTCAAAACTTGTAATTTAATTACAACAATGTATGTGTTTGGAACTAAATCTCGTCAACTTTGATCCACATTTGGGAGAATCAACTATTACTTGCTCCTGCATTGTTACCAAAATTTTGACGCAGATTTACTAAAAAATCGTGGATGCCAAACTCACATCCAAACATGCACGAAATGTGAGCACCCTATCACTCCAAACACCCCATTAAAACTCAGCATTTCTCCCTCTCTCTCTCTCTCTCACGCACATCAATTCAGTAGTCACATCTACACTTCTCTCTCTTTATCTCTCTGGTATCAACTAGCAGTTGGGTGTCTACCCATAATTTCCCTTCCCATAAACATCACCATACCCATGAACACTGCCACGAAGGGTCCACAAAATCAAGTAATGAATTTGAAAGCATTCTAAACTAGAATACAAGTATTCCAGCAAAATATCTCAAAACACTCGTTACAATCCAAACATAAATGCTCATCTCATATTTTTCTTCCACGGATACAGAAACATGCACATTTCATAATTCATACATAACAAGACAGGAACTGTAATTGAATCACAACGAGCTTGCAACAAAACAAAATAAAAATAAAAATAAAAACTATTAAGCAAATCGAACTTAATGGTGGCCACTAAAATGAAACACAAAATATAATATAGTATATAAATAAATAAATAAATATATATATATATATATATATATATTATTTTTCC